CTGAACTCAAAGTACCCCCCCCCCTCCCCTTTTTTATATTTAACGCAACACACTATTAAATCTCTAAGATAGTTGAAAACAGAGCGGAACTCGAATATGCATCTCCGTTGGCACCACCTAGCTAACAAACTGAACCACTAGTTAGCTGGTGAAATCATATATATTTTTATACACCACTGTTATTTCTTTTACATCATTAAAATTTATGATACCAAGCAATCAGTACTCCCGGCATTTAAGTCCATTGTGCATTTGTACGACGAAGTCCACGAAGCCACTGCCAGTGCAACGTCTGACGTAGCGTGTACTATGATTCTCACCTTTTTATGCTCCTTTACACGGTGATAATAAAGCCACGTTGTCCTTATTTAAAAGAGTCTTGTACTTTTCATGATATACAAACATGGATGTGGTTGTAGTTTCAAGCTCTACGTACTAGGGTGATCTGGCGACGAAAATAACATATTGCCAGCCAAAAGCAAATTCGTACGACTCCCTCTACTAAACCCCTGAATTACAGCCCTCGGTGTAGTGACATAAGGTGGGGGTCACAAGACTCGCAACAAAGATGGAATTTGGCACTGATGCGTTTCATAAGCGATTCATTACTCAGAAAATCACTTAACCGTCGAAAAACATTCAATAACCATTTTACATGAACACGCATTTGATTTTTATTCATGCCACATCAATAAGAAAAAACGTTTTTCTCAAGAATGCATTTGTTATTATAATATTATTATAATCCAACAACATAAAATTCAATTTAAGGTATCCATAATTAGAAAAAGCGCATAATTTAACACATATAGGATGGACATTAATAGCACCCGTGAGCACTTTCAGAGTTAAATCGTTAACACGGGGAGCACTTCTTTCAATGTGGGCAGTGCCTGAACACCAGGGAGTGGGTAGTGCCTTAACTTCGGGGAGCACTTCTTTCCGGCGTTAATTTGTCACAAAAAGGGACAGGAAGGATGAACCATTAATAGCACAAATAGACATCGTTGACGGTAGGTTTAATAGGGTTTCGTCTGATTAACAGAGATCATTTATGGTTGAGAAATGGTGTATCAATAACAGGGGTTCATTTACCTATTATAAATGGTAAGTTTAACGGCAATATAGAAAACAGAGATTGGTGCTGCTGATATAAAATCATTTTTTTTTTTTTGTTTGGAATTGTTGCTGTCAGATAAAATTTTCTTTGAGCAAAAGTAACTTTTTTCTGTTTGGTATCAATGTTTTAGGAAATATATTCACCATTGGTACCCATTATTTAATGCCATATCACATTCCTATGGGCAATAACGAGCTGCAGTTCTAGGAAATACTAAATTCGGTATTGCTCCAAGCATTGTCTTCCTGATTTTCAAAGCGTTTTTTAAAATACCGTTTTTTATAGAATAACGTTTCTAAACAAAGACCTATTTTTTGGAACACCGTTTTTTCTGACATTACACTGATGTAGTGCTGTTTTCTGGAGCAACAACAACGATGCCAAATAAACGCTTAATAGCAAACTAAAAAACAGTTTAATAGGGGTTCATCAGTTAACAGAGATCATTTATGGGTGAAAAAGGAGTAGCATTATTTACCTTGGCAAGAACTCTACTCGATGAATGCAAGAGCAAAAAGAAATCCCGTCCCGCAACCATTTGCAATGGGATGCATTGGAGATTAGGAAAAAAAATAGTGTTGATGATGAGAAGAAGAAAATGGTGTTTAAACAGTGGATTCACCAGAACCAATGTCGATGAAAAGTAGCCCTCAACTGCGGCAAGAAATATGGAAGAGGAACACGAGGGTTTTTACTTTTTACCGTGGGTGTGTTCTTCACTACCATGGACGTGCGAAGCATCAGATCAAGTTTTATCCGATGTAGCGACTTGCCAAGTCGGGTAAAGTTGTAGCCACATTGATTACCGCAAACAACATCAAAAAGGCGTTTCTGCTTAAAAGGTGAAATTGGGGATTCTAAGGCAAAACGTTTTATGACCTTTTCTGAAAAAACATAATGCCAAACAGATGAAGAGCCAAGAAATTTTCATGAGGGCGCCAAAATCTAAGATATGGAGTGGGAGAGGGAGGGAGAATAAATGAAATTTTCGTACCAATTTCATTTATTTATTGTTTTATCATTCATGCCACATCAGCGAAAATGAATAAATTCTGAAACGCAATGCCAAACACCCACAAAAGATTCACAACAAACGGTTGGAAGACCTTATATTATTCTAATTTCTAGCTACTTAATAAAGGGGAAAATTATATACAAGTTTCTGTACTTTAAAGGTAGTCAAACTTATGCGGCTGATCTTTCGAGTGTGACAATCAAATGTCTAATTTTCTAAAATGAATACAAAATTCCAAGATTGTTAACCTACTTTATTAACTGTTAGAATAAATGAGAGAATAAAAACACAAAATTGTCAGCGGAAAACTTCAACCACCTAAACCATTGTGGCTTAGAAAAAGATCCAACACTTGTATGCAAATGCAATGAACCATATTGGTAGGACAATGGAGGAGTTAGGAATTTTCTATTGCGGGCAAAGAGATGAGAGAAAATGGAGATTAAGCATATTTTTCTGTAGTGTGCCTATTTGATGTATTCATCTAAAATTCAATAAAAAATTTGGATTTGAAGTTTCTGTTAAGATAATGGTCAAAAAAATATAAATTCTATTATTACTTTGGGGTTGGGCTAAGATTGAGGCATTATCCAATCCGATCTTACAATGTAACATAAAGTAAGGTTTTTAAAATCGATCCAATCAACTCGTTTTGACAATAAAAAATAAAAAATGATAAAAATCATTCGAACGGTTCAAACATTTAACCGCTTAAGTTAACGATTTACTGTTCAAAATCAACGGTTTTTGCGGAAAAATAGAACCGATCACCTAACCGATTCCACATATTTTTCTTGGTTCGATCGCCCGATTCAATCCGATTTTAGAAATCATGACATCAAGTAAACAATTCATTCCAATTTAAGCCCAACATGAAAATTCAATTCATTTTAAAATAATGTTAAAGTTAGAAAAGATAATTGAGGGTGGAGGGGAGGGGAGATATTAATCTAAGCTGGTTGTGGGTTGTGAGTACATGGGATGGGCTATAGGGATGGAAGGGATTGGGGACCCCACATAATAACTTTGCTTCGCTCATTTTTCAACGCGTGTTGGGCTTTAACAGATATTCTTAATGTAAAGTTGCAAAAGGATGTTAGAACAGTGTGGAAATAGATTTGCCCTGATCCTGGGCTTAGGCTTAGGCTAACTACTCGCATAACAGGGCAGGAGCAGTAGAGTTCCTGTGACAAACCACCTGCAGACATTCAGGAGTAGGCTTAGGCTACCGATCCTAGGCTCCTAGCGGGTTCGAATCGATACAAGGAAAACTTGACGTTGTTTCAGACTTTGAGTCGCATTTCACATTCATTAATATTAGGAATATATGCCCCGCGAAGATCGAGACAATCGTACTCGCACGTCACTTGATAAGCTCAAACCCCCAATACCAATAGTGCATACAATCATTTCATCTATACAATTTTCTTGTTCGTGTACAGAAACCAGCATCCCTTTTTTTTTTTTTCTGTTAAAAGACATTACATCGTTTTTTTTTTTTTGTCACCATGAAAAATAACACTATTTTTCTGTGAACTTTATAAATATTAGACTGATGAAAGGGGAGATCAAGTATACGACATGTTTATATTGAACGCGTAAAAAAAGGTGGTATTGTGTACAAACCTAATGGATTTTTTTATTATTATTTATGATAATTAAAGTATTACTAGGTGTGACATAGGTTAAAAAAGTCAAAATATTTTTTAGTCAAAGAAACATTATTTTGATATTTTCTCTCTATAATCATTTCACATAATCTAAGACAATTCGAATAGGACAACTAATTCACTTGAAATAAATCATTGAAATTAGAAATTAAGAAACACCTATATGACACCAATGGGGTGGTATTTTTTTAATAAATCACAATGATAAGAAACATATAAATAATTTACCCCCAAATGTCAAAGAGGTTTCGGAGAGATCAAAGTTCACAAGGAGACTAAAGTGATTGTGAAAAACCTCAAAGGAATTTTGAGGGAATGTTTAGTATAAATTCGGCTTTGGTCAGGATAAAGCCCGTTCGAGCAGCCTTTATCGCTTTGTATTGAGAATATCTTTATATTTATATATTTTATTTTATGAGAAAATATTTTTAATACAAAATTATAAAAAAATATTAAAATGGTATTGGCACAGGTTTTCCCTGATAGAAGCCAATCTCATTTAGTATGATTTTTATTTATTTGAAAAATATCTGTATTTGATTTTATTTTCAAGATCAAGAATAGGTATTTTTTTTGAAGGCACTAAGAATAAGTAATTGATAAACATTTTTTAGTGTTATTTAATAGCTATGCGTGATAAACAATCTGACCAAATAGAATTTTGACGATGAATTGACACCATTTTTTTAAATTAATGAAAGTCATACCAAACACCGTTAATTATAAAAGTATGAAAAAGAAAGAAAATACAATACTCCATATTATATGTTTTTTAATTACCAAAAAATATATATAAACAATTTTTAAAGTCCCACATTCCCTCCCAAGATGTGATTGTGTGCAACTGTGCATTATCACCAATACCATTACCTTGTTTGTTTGCAACTTGCGACGCATTTGCTGGCGCGTTCCACATTCGAAGTGAAAACAACCAACAAACAGACCCTTACATAACAATTAACAATACAAAAAAAAGGCCGGCCAGCACGTTCTGTGTTTCCTCTTTTTCCATTGCCTCGACAAGGTTCGCCGATGTCGGTTGGTCCTTAATTGAGCCTCCTGGCCTCCAGTGAATAATGGATAAGGCCATAAGGGAGGGAGGAGGTAGGACCCACCCACTCCACTTCACTTCAATTACCCCATTACAATTACATCGCTTTATTATTCCATTCTAGAATCTTCTTTTTCCCATGTATTGAAACTTGAAACGGCTCCATTCTCCAGTTTCCTCTCTTCAGATTCCTACTCCACTACTAGTAGTAGAAGTAATCTCTATTTCAATTCCTACAAAAAGCCACTGTGAGCGATGCGATCGGACGCGACTGAGCTTCAAGCCTTCATTGTTCTACAATGTACATTATCTACTGAGGTGATTGCCGGATTTGCATTTTAAACTTCTCATCTACTGAAAGTTAAAGGTAAAACGAGTTGGATATTCTTTTGTTCTGTGCACATCCACCTGTCCTCAGTACGTCTCAGTTTGGGATCTTGCATTAATAGTTGAAAATGACATATAGTTTGGTCTTTCTCATTGATGGTTTAATGGTCGCGTCAATTCGGTTTAATCCGTCTCGGCAAAAGCTTCCGAGTTCAGGTATTTCTACCAAGTACCAACTCACAAATTCACAGTTTCAGATGTGGAAACGCCAAAGCCGAATTATCAAGAAAGTAAAAAAAGAAAAGTTCCTGATTGTTATTGAAACAAAAATCGAAGCAATGTACTCAATTCGACTCCTGTAGTTATTAATTCTAATGATGGTTCTCAGGCTTTGAAGTTTGTAGCTTGGAAGTGTTTACTTATCGTCGTCTTGTTTCCAATGTAGAGATCAGGCGTTAATTAAACAAAAAGAGGAATCGACACGACGCAAAACGTGTGTTTGTGTTGAAATGAGAGACGACAAATGTCAGTAGTTGAAGAAAGCGCATTGGGGAAGACGAATACAAGGAGGCCTTGGATTTATGTTGTCAGGAAGGTTATCAAAGCGGCGGGTGGTGTGTAGTATGCTTTTTTTTTTTGGTAAAAAGTGTAGTATGCTTCGAGTGAAGAGCATATTTAGCTCTCATTTACAGAGCAGATACCATCCCTCACGTGCTCGTTCTGCTTTTCAGACACTTATCCGTATAAAGCCTTCACTCCACTCTGTTCATATTGCTTTTGGAGCTCAAAACTTTCTCTGTTTCTTTGTTCGAAGTTCTTCTGTATATCGTCTACTGGTGCGGATCTGGTCTGGTAAGCCCCAAATTCCTCTGTATTTCGTTTTACATATATTCTGATGCCTAAGCAATTTCAAACCCTTTTAACATTGCATATTCCTTCGCTTCAATCGAGAGTTTTATTCTATAAGCAGCACTTCAAAATTTTCAAGGGCGCACCCCTTTCTAAAATAAGTTCCTTAATAGCTCCATCCACCATGGTTGAGGGGAAAAAGAAAGAAAGAAAGAAAGAATCTCTCTCTGTCTCTCCGGCTTTGCAAGGTTGATCAACTCCGTGTTTCGGTGGGCTCTTGGCATGGTCGTATTGTTTTTGAGAATCTTGTTATCTTTGTCGCTTGCAGCACGTGATTGCATCTCTATACTTTTATTTATTTATTTATTTTTTTATGATAAACTTCTTCGACTCTATCCTCATTCTAAGTTGGTTGGTTCTCCGTCCCCTTCTTTCTTCTGTTTTCCCCCTATGGCTCTTCCTCCATTTGATTACTTGTTAGTTGGCTCTTCCTACCAAAATTCTATTGCAAAGATTACTTGTTAGTTGGCTCTTCCTCCATTTGATTCCACATTTGGGGCGGAACTTGTAGTTTAGCCTGAAGCAGCAGAAACTTATCTGTTTCCATGTTTGCTTGAGTAAATAAATATCTCTTCAATATTCAATGGACTGTGTAGTGTATTGTGGGTAGGCGTGGGTAGAGTTCTCGTGGGCAGGAGATCCGGAGTCGTTACATGGTGACTTGGCTTTGGACTTTGGGGTTTTACCCATTTTCTGAAAATTTACTTGAAAAGTAGCATATATTTTGTAAAAAGCAAAAAATACAGAATGGTGAATATGAGAAGGGTACGGATATCAAGTGGGGAATGTATTGAGAAGAGTGATAGGATGTTTCCTGCTTTTGTCTCCTCTACGATGCATGCGACGGAATTAGAAAAATGGAGCAAATTCATTAGATGCTTTGTTCTTGAAATTCCTCTTTTTCTGTTTTATAATCTCATTTGCTCCGTGTATTCCATACAAAAGCTTGGACTTTTCCTGTGCAGATCTACAAATAGCTGTGGGCAGGAACAGAATCTCAGTGCGAAGATCGAGGCCATCGAGCCATGGATCTCCATTATGGCAAGTGTTGGAGTACTTCAAAGGTTTATCCTTTACACCTCTAGCAGTCTAGCTCAATTTCATGTGCTTGTTCTTTTGTAATCTCATTTAATGCGGAAAATTGGATGAATCAATTCCATTGCAGAAAGACTCTTGGAAGACAGTTTTGCTGTTAGCTTATCAAAGCCTTGGTGTGGTCTACGGGGACTTGAGCATCTCCCCTCTCTATGTTTTCAAGAGCACATTTGCGGAGGACATTCAGCATTCTGAGACTAATGAAGAGATTTTTGGTGTGCTTTCTTTCGTCTTCTGGACGCTCACTCTAGTTCCTCTATTCAAGTACGTCTTTGTGGTTCTTCGAGCCGATGACAATGGAGAGGGTAAACATTAGAAGTTCGTCTAGAAAATTTTAAGGGATATTCACAATCCATAATGGTTCGAGATGTATTATATGTTCTCTTTTCACACTCGTGCCTTTTGTGAATGGTTTTGCAGGTGGCACTTTTGCTTTATACTCCTCGATATGCAGGCATGCCAAAGTTAGTCTTCTTCCAAATAGGCAGGTTGCAGATGAAGCACTATCTACATATAAACTAGAGTCCCCTCCGGAGAAGAAAAATAGCTCACGGGTGAAAATTTTGCTTGAAAAGCACAAGGCCCTGCACACTGCTTTGCTAATCTTGGTTCTGCTTGGTACCTGCATGGTAATCGGAGATGGGTTACTCACACCAGCAATTTCTGGTATTCACTTTTCCTACAATTCAAGTTATATTCTTTTTCGCTGCTTTCAATTTTTCTAACCAACGAATTGCTGTTCTTTCTCTGTTTCTCTTCTCTCTTTTTAGTTTTCTCAGCCGTTTCAGGCCTTGAGTTATCAATGTCCAAGGAACACCATCAATGTAAGTTAATCAGAATCTTTAATTCTGGGTACTGCCTTGGTTGATTTTTCTTAATCTACTATTTTCAATCCATTAACAGCTCATTATCAATCAAGTTAAGTGACAACCGAATTTCGTGATCTGATGCCGAATCGCTGATGTTACCACTATTTGAAATGTTCAACAAAGCAAACAATAAGCATTTCCAATTGTTAGTGATATTTCATTGTGTTGTCAAAGGAGAAGAACAAACCAGTACCCTGCTTCTGCAGGTCTATATCGAGTTAATTGCAGGGTCTGCATTTTCTGGTTAGAGAGAACCAATTCACCCTTTCATTCTTTATTTGCTCTGGGCAATAACTTCCACCCTATCTATGAGATCTGAACTTGATGTTCTAGTAATTAACAGAATTGCGCTCAACACTTGAAGCTTAGCTTCATCTAAGAACATAAAGTTTCTGCTGTTAAAGGGTCAGAAACATAACCTAAATATTTCAGGATGAAAAAATTTCCATCTTTTTTACTTGTTGAGTGATGGATCCTTTTCAAAAGGGGGAAAAAGGTAAAAGAGACAAAATGTATTAAAGAGTTATTGGTTTCAAATTTGTTCTCACTACGGATTTGGCCACATAATAATAGTGTCTTTTCGATAAATTGATGACTACACAATTAATGGGAAAGAATGTAAGTGATATAGACAACCAGGGATTTACTGGGGTGGGTGGTGACTATCACTGAAAGTAAGAGGGACCACTTGGTCCATCTGGACCAGTCAGTGAGAAAAAGCTCCAAAAAAAGTGGGCCGAAATAGAAGCATCAACCAACTTGTCCAATTTATTGTCAGAAATCTCCCGTTGCTTCTTTGAACCTATCACCTTATCAATTGAAATTTGTCGGTTACACATTATCTAAAGTTCATCCCATCTTCCTAGAGATGTTACCTATTTTCTTTATTTTAAATTGAAGCTTGACTTATTATATATACAAGCATATTTTATGTATACAAACACATTTTCATGAGATGCATATATAGATGAATAAGGGAAATGATATCATGTCTGGAATAAGTTGGTTGATTTCATCACTCAGGCAACAGGGTTAAATGGTGATACATATGCATCCAAAAGTACACCATGGTTTATGCACATGTAAGATGTAACAACTGGACGAAAGGTTGGAGTGGGGTTTTTTCCCCAATAAGCCTGCTAGTGGGTGTCCATGATTGTATTGGCTGGTATGGTGTCTCCTTAAGTATTGTTCTTATTTTCTTGTAGTGTAACTACTCCCTATATACAGATAACAGTTTATCTAACATTCTATATACTGATTTTGGTAGATTCCAATTTTGATATGATAAGTCAGAACTTGGAAGTGTTTAGTCTTTTAAAACATGTACTTGTTGTCTCATTATTAGGGGTGTGCCCCCTTCAAAAATGGAATGTGCCCAAAGCAATCCCTCATTTTATGATCGTTTTCAGTACAAAATATCTACTATATTTTTAGTGTACCATAGAATTATGAATAGTTTAGATCATTATTGGCATCTAAGTATACACTTTTTTTTGAGTCATGGGTCTTCTCACTGCTTAAATAGAGGGAGTGGTAAATGTAGGTGCACAGGACAACAGTCTTTTGGAGATTACAGAAAGAAATTGCATAAATCCTCCAAGAAAAAAATACCAGAGCTAAATTTCATTGTAGATCTGGTCACTCTAAGAGTGGCTCATTGGATCTCCAAAAAGGAAGAGTTTGAGTGGGGTCCCATTGGTTTTATCTTTGAAGGTGACATGAAGTGGTAAAATTTGCTCAAGCCAGACATTATATTGAAAGGGAATGAAAACCTTCTCCACATCCCCCAAGTAAAGCTCAATTGTCATGGTTACTCTTTCAGAAATTCTGGGCCTGGCATTGTGCTTTTTATGAACCACTTTGGTTGGGTTAGGTGACTCATGACTGCACCATTCTTTGACTGTATTGGAGACTATAGTGATAAGGGCAAAGATGTTATTGCTGCTACAAAGGCTGAGAATATTCTTTGAATGAAATAAGGATTGGAGGTGGAAGGAAATATGTTAGTTGAAATAGGTGGCACAATGACACTCTCTGATGGTCCTTAGGCACTTTAATGTTGCATAAGAGAGGCAAGATCACTGGCTGTCATGGTGAACATCTTGTTAAGCAGGGTTCCTAGATCAATTAACTGACTATATCTGCTCTAACCAGGGATGGGGGTTTAAAGAGAATCTTTGTACCGAGGGTGGGGGAATAGACTTAACAGGTTAGTCATCTAAGGTAATTCTCTACTTTCAGCCTTTCTTTTGGCTTTTTTATCTCTATTTTCCTGCAATTTTGTTCTTTCTCTCTCTTAAAGTAAGAAGGCTTACTGTGTTCTGATTATTTGTTTTAATAAATGCTTTTGATCTTGTTACTGATAAAAAAATTGGTGGACAATTGAGAAACCATCAAATCTTTCTTTTTCTTTATTTGATCATTGAAAAGTATCAAAATTATCAGTTACAGGTTATACTTGATATATTCTTTCTAATATTTGTTTTGCTGTGTCCCATGATTGCAGATGCAGTGGTTCCAATTACTTGCTTCATTTTAGTGTGTCTATTTGCACTTCAACACTATGGCACACATCGGGTTGGATTCCTTTTTGCGCCAATTGTTCTGATTTGGCTCCTGTGCCTTAGCACCCTTGGCTTGTACAATATATTCCACTGGAATCCACATGTTTATCAGGCACTTTCTCCATATTACATGTATAAGTTCTTGAGAAAGACAAGGAAAAGTGGCTGGATGTCTTTGGGTGGAATCTTATTGTGCATAACAGGTATAATTTTATTACATGAGCATATTTTCGGGAATGCCATCTATTTTCAAGGATTCAGTTTTCAGAACATTCATACACAGTGCCGTGAGGTTGTATATTCAACCAAGGTTATATAGGTTAGTTCTGAGCAAAAATTGCACTATGAATGGATGCTTTTTGAGGTTAGGAGTGAGTTTATGGACCCCAACATCTAGACATCTTTCATTATGGAGAGATTAATGAAAACTTGGTACTAATGCAGCAGTTGGAAGGAAATCTTGCTGGATCTATCAAGGATAGGTATATGTAGAAGGAGCATAAACGATACAACTTTTTTTACAAAAAAAAAAATCTAAATTTCTGGCTATCTTTTGTGTTGTTCCATAAGAAATATTGCCCTAATTTCACAAGTCAACTAGAGAAAATCCTGGGGCTGATTAGTATGGAACTTCCATTTGCATTCTCATGGTGATATCATCCCTATAATTATCAAACTCAAATATAGACTGGTCCACCATCTTCCAGTATAATTCAATAAATGACCCTTGGTACGGTCTAGAAAATCAACCATCATTAATTCTAGACACTAAGACCAATTGCTATCATTTTCAGACTTTCATGGTCATTAAGAGGGACGCCAAGCCCATAGGAATGGCCTTTTTGGTGAGCATAGTGATTGGCCATAGCTTTGATGTCAAATATTATAAGGACTGACTACTCTAATGCCTAATTGATGTAAGATTTTTATGACCCAAGAATGAACATAAGAAAGTATTGATAGATTAGAATAGTGTCTAGTAGTGATGATTTAAAGGGATCGGGGTTGAAAGGGTACTAGGACAAATCAGTGAGAATTGCAATTTCTCTTTGAAGTTCTGGAAAAAAATGAAGAACTTAAGTATAGGGGTGGACTTCTTTATTTTTCAAGCCTCAGGGAGAATATGTTATTCTAACCAATTTGACCTAGAATCTTTCCAACCTCCAACCAATCCCTACCTTTAGTTCTTAATGAACCTTATACCTTATTCTAGCCAATAAGTGCCTTCCTAGACTCAGCCAGTCAGCCTTGTGTGATGGTCATCCTGTATCACATGGCTCTTAATAGAGTGCAATGGCAAAACAGGATTTGTACAGCTGATTCAAAATAATTTCGCTTAAACCTTCATTGATTAGAACAATGTATTCACATATCGAAAACTCTGTACTCATGATAATTAAAAAATGGACCTTGTAAACTCAGTCAATTAACATCCTAAACGTAATGAGTTGTGTCTTGAGTTGAACAAATAAATGCTGGATCAAATATATTTTTTTAATTGGTAATGCTGGATCAAATCTTGATGACTGATCTCACCAGCCAACCTACAAATCATGAACTATATATGACCCATAGTCCTTGCAAGCATGACGCCTGCCCATGTGGAGGAGTTATACATGATCAGGAATAATAACACCCAACAAATATTTTTTTCTGAATTATTTTATTTATTCAACTTTCTTGTTTACTGCGCAAATTATAGATTGCATTTCAGTCTCCTATAAGACACTTCAGTTGAAAACTTCTCAATCTGCACAACTTATAAAAAACTGCAAACAACCTTCATTAATGTCCTTATCTTTGCAGGCTCAGAGGCAATGTTTGCTGATCTCGGCCACTTCACATACACTGCAATTCAGGTACTTTCTAGCAGAATTGGGACATTTGGAAGAAACCTGCCAATAAAAAACATTAAGGAACCTGGAATTGAATGACTCCATTTTAATTTTTCATTACATTTGAGACAAGTTTATCATCCTGTAATGTACATTCAAGGAATAGCCAACAACAAATGAAATAATGTCATCTTAGGATTTCAAGAAATTAAGATGAATCAATTTTGTGCACAATGGCTACTAAAAAGCCCACTAATAATTGCAATATTTGAAATCCTATTCTGATAGCAGCATCTTATTCTTTGTCTAATTGCAGATTGCATTTACTTTTCTAGTTTATCCAGCACTAATTTTAGCATACATGGGTCAAGCTGCATACTTGTCAAGGCACCACCATATTTACAACAGTTACCAGATTGGATTCTATGTCTCAGTTCCAGGTAATCTTTTATTCATGCTTGACTGTTACAACATTATTCATAATGGACCATCTTTTGTGATAAAAAAAATTTAACAAAAATCCCAGCAATTTGTGAGCACTAACTGGGTGGCTCTTCCTCACCTATAAATCATATCAAAGTGTACAATTTGTCTGGCAGAAAAAAATCATAGAAAAACCCAGGTTGTTGGAGTTATAATTTACAAATGGGTTGCAACACTAATCTGGCCCTCTTAATGACTTATATGACGCAGGTAAAACCCATTAGTAGTAGTTTCTTAGCATTTGCAAATACTCAACTCAACTTGGAATTGATCCCAACTTTTTGCAGTCATGTGCAAAATACTCATCCAATTAAATATTGAAGCTGTTGAAGAAGTCACTTGCACAAAAAGAAAAAAGTCTGATGTGTTGAAGTTTTTGGTTTTCAGAATGTGTGAGGTGGCCAGTGCTTATACTAGCAATATTTGCTTCAGTGGTGGGAGGCCAGGCGATCATTAGTGGAACATTTTCTATCATCAACCAGAGCCAATCATTAGGTTGCTTCCCGAGGGTCAAGGTTGTTCACACCTCTGATAAGATACATGGCCAGATTTACATCCCTGAGATCAACTGGATGCTCATGATCCTCTGCATTGCTGTGACCATTGGGTTCAGAGACACAAAACACATCGGAAATGCATCAGGTTAAATTTTAACAAATTAATTGGTTTCTCTCTGCATCAAGCCTTTGGAAAATACGTAGGTACTGTACTGAAAAGGTATAATTTGTGGGTTTGCAGGGTTAGCAGTGATGACAGTGATGCTGGTGACCACATGCCTCACTTCATTAGTCATTATCATCTGTTGGCACAAACCCCCTATTTTGGCCCTTGCTTTCCTACTCTTCTTTGGAACCATTGAAGTTCTCTACTTCTCAGCTTCGCTGGAAAAGTTCCTTGATGGGGCCTGGCTCCCTATCCTCCTAGCACTTTTCCTCATGACCATTATGTTTGTGTGGCATTATGCAACCATCAAGAAGTATGAATTTGATCTCCACAACAAGGTATCCTTGGAGTGGCTTCTGGCCTTAGGCCCCAGCTTAGGTATCGCACGAGTTCCTGGAATTGGGCTAGTGTACACTGAACTCACATCTGGAATTCCTGCAAACTTCTCTCGGTTTGTCACGAACTTCCCTGCATTCCACCGTGTCCTGGTCTTTGTGTGCATCAAGCATGTACCTGTACCTTATGTGCCCCCAGCCGAACGTTACCTTGTGGGCCGTATTGGGCCCTCAGATCATAGGTCCTACAGGTGCATTGTTCGTTATGGGTACCGAGATGTTCACCAGGACATTGATTCATTTGAATCTGAACTTGTTGATAGGCTTGTTGACTTCATTCGGTTTGATGGGTATCGGACCCTGGGGACCAATTCATGTGTTGAGGTCGATGCATCTCGTTCTAGCGAGTCCACAGGCGAGTGTAGATTAGCGGTGATTGGAACAGTAGCATTCTCAGGCCTACCAGCTTATGAGATTGAGGAAAGTGTGCAACCGAGTAAAACTGTTAGGTTTCAGACAGTGGAGAATAATAAAATAGATGTAATAGAGATGGAACCGGTAGGTGCTGTTGAGAAGAGGGTAAGGTTTGCCATCGATGATGAATCGGGTGGTGGTGATGGTGATACACATTCGGCGATGGATGATCGGGTGCGGGAAGAGATAGAGGATCTGTTGGAGGCTCAACAAGCAGGAACGGCATTTATACTTGGCCACTCACATGTAAAAGCAAAGCAAGGATCCACATTCCTGAAAAAAGCGGCTATTGATTTTGGGTACAATTTCCTGAGAAGGAATTGCCGGGGACCAGATGTGGCTCTCAAGGTACCGCCAGCATCTCTCCTTGAAGTTGGCATGGTCTACGTTGTGTAGTCTGTAGTGTAGTACTAGTCCAAGCGCGCCTCGTTTGGCCTTTGGATCATCCAAAACTTCTTCTAGTCTAGACTCTAGAGGGAAAAAAAGTGTGTATAACCTGAATGTGCGGCTTGATAGTTGATACTTCACACCAACCAGTGTTGTTGTTTGTAATCTATGTATTGTATTTGTATTATAAAATGACTGATCAGTTTCCGTGCATTTGGCTCGGCGAGAGCCGAGAGGCACAAAACAAGAGTCAACAAGAACCTCTGGTTTTAGATTCTAGATGAAAATATGAGTTCAAATCAGTACACGGCGGGGATGTGCTGTGGAACGTTGTGGGGGGGAATCTTGTGGGGGCTGATTTGATCTCTGAAAATATAAAATTATAAATACACGAGTATTAGCGTAATGTATTTTAATTTATGATGGAAGTTTTGCACCTCGTTGCAAGTACCAGTATACGATGTGTTTGTGTCCCATTCCACAGAAAGCATCTTTTCCACTAATTAATCAGCTACATATATCATATATGCATGGTCAAGGTCAATCCTGTTTGGTGGTCTCTTCTAGTGGGGCCCTGTTTTTTGCGATTAGGCCAGGTTTACTTGGCTGAAGCCAACAGTTTATGTACTTGTTAGGATTGTGCTGAAAATCAGGAACTAGTATACGTGTATATCTCTTTTCCTAGTATTTCTGTATATCCTATTCTTGGCATGTATATTTCAGTTAGGAAAGATATGATTTAGTTGCCATTAGTTTAGGAATTAGTTGCCATAAGCTTAGGAGATTGATTGCTTGATTGTAGGTATGTAGCCGTGTATATATTTGAGTTTTCTCAATGAATGAAAGAACAAGAATTAACTAGCCAAGCTCTGGCTTTTTCATGGTATCAGAGCCGAACATGGCTGAAAACAAAGAACAAGAACAGGGTGGTGGTCAATTGACAAAGAATGTGATCTCGCCCTACCTTCTATCAACCAATGACAATCCAGGTAGCATTATCTCACAAATCTAGCTTAGAGGCGACAATTATGATGAATGGGCTCGAGCGATAAGAACGGCACTGCGAGCCAAGAAGAAATTCGGCTTCATCAATGGATCGGTGAAATAACCTTCGAACGATTCGGTGGAATTGGAAGATTGGTGGATGGTGAATTCCATGCTTGTGTCATGGATTCTGAATACGATTGAACCAAATTTACGTTTGACCATAACGTACACGGAGATTGCAAAGACGCTCTGAGACGACATAAAGGAGCGATTCTCTATTGGTAATGGACCACGAGTTCAACAACTCAAATCCAAGTTGGCGAATTGCAAACAAAGGGGTATGATGATTCTGAATTACTATGGCAAATTCAAGATGATTTGGGAGGAATTGGGAAATTATGAGCAATATCCCACTTGTCAATGTGGTAAGTGCAGATGCGATATAAGCAGGGCATGGGATAAGAAGCGAGATGAGGAGAAACTTCATCAATTTTTGATGGGGCTAGATGACACGGTCTATGGAGGTGTGCGTTCGTATATACTAAGTACAGAACCTTTGCCAAGCTTGAATTGAGCCTATGCCTTGGTGATTCAGGAGGAGCAAGTTCAAACCATGACCCGCGCAAAGGAAGAGAGGAGTGAACTTGTGGCCTTCGCAGTTCAAGCAGGGAAGAGGCAAAGCAAAGGCAGAGACAAGAACATGGTATGTACTCACTGCAACAAGGCAGGCCACGATGCAGAGTCTTGTACTCGTGGAGCAAGCCGTGGGCGTGGTGGACAGAAACAAGGTGCAAGGGCAGGAGGAAGAGGTCGTGGCGGCCAAGTCAGGGCCAATGCAAACCAAGTCTCTGCACAAGGCAATGCGTCTCAAGGAGAATCAATCGATGCAGTCAAGGCTGGGTTAAATGGACTAAGTAGTGAGCAATGAAACATGTTACTCAACCTTTTGAACACACGGAAAGAGGGGAGTCAACGACTAAGTGGTAAGCAAAAGTTGTTAGAGTGGATAATAGACACAGGGGCTTCTCATCATATGACAGGGAGCCTCGAGTCGGTGAGAGGCATAAAAAATGTCATTCCATACTCTGTCGGGCTGCCAGATGGGAAAGCGACAATAGCAGAGAAAGAAGGCATAGTTGCGCTAGACGATCATCTGAAACTGACTAATGTTTTATATGTGTCTAGTTTGAATTGCAATTTAATTTCTGTGTCGCAATTGATTGAGGAGTCGAATTGTATTGTTCAGTTCACTAATAAATTATGTGTGATACAGGACCACACTACGAGGATGCTGATTGGAGCGGGTGAGCAGCGAGAGGGACTCTATTATTTCCGGAGCATTGCATCTGCAAGAGCAATGAAGACTACAGAGAGAAGAACGTGTGATATTTGGCATTGAAGGTTGGGGCATCCTTCTCATAAAATTGTTAAGTTGCTGCCTTTTGTCAGTACTAAGAATAATAATGATGATAGTATTAAGGGTTGCGATGCATGCTTACGAGCTAAACAATGTCGAGAATAGTTTGTTTCTGGTAATAATAAAGCATCTGATATTTTTGAATTAATTCATTGTGATTTATGGGGTCCTTATAGAACTGCAGCTTCTTGTGGTGCTCATTATTTCTTGACAATAGTAGATGATTTTTCTAGAGGCGTTTGGATTTATCTTCTATTTGATAAGACGGAAGTGGGACGAGTTCTTCGAAATTTTTTTGCTATGGTTCAAAGGCAATTTAAGAAACCTGTAAAAGTGATTCGTACTGATAATGGGACTAAGTTTGTCTGCTTGGCTAGTTATTTTGCTGAAAATGGTATTATTTATCAAACTACTTGTGTCGGGACCTCTCAACAAAACGGGAGGGTTGAATGCAAACACCGCCACATACTCAATGTTGCCCGAGCATTACGTTTTCAAGCTAGCTTGCATATTGATTTTTGGGGGGAATGTGTATTGACCGCATGTTATTTAATTAATCGGACACCGTCCATTCTGTTGAAGGGAAAGACTCCCTATGAAGTTTTATTTAGGCGACCTCCTTCTTATGATAATGTGCAAGTTTTTGATTGCTTGGCATATGCGCACAATCATGGACATGGAGGGGATAAATTTGCCAATCGGAGCAGATAGTATGTTTTTGTTGGGTATCCTTTTGGAAAGAAATGATAGAGCTTGTATGATTTAGAGTCCGACAGGTTCTTTGCATAAAGAGATGTTACCTTTTTAGAGCATGAATTCCCTTATGCATGCTAGGAGGATGAATAACCAAACAAAGCACAAGGCCAATTTAATTGTGAAATAGGTGGGACAGATGAGGTGTTGGTGCCGTCCATTTATTTACATGGACAAGCAAATGGCGAGGTGGAGCTTGACCAGCGAGGTGAATTAGCTGAAGAAGGAACCTGCGTAGAACCGAATGCAAATGCTGGTGGACTCATGCATCATTGTGACGCTACCATAGAAAATGCATGGGAAGACAGTCCTGACGTAAGGGGGGTGGCGATATTGAGCAGCAACAGCAATCTGAATCTCAGTTGTAGCAATCTGAATTTTATTTGGGGCATGGGCATCGACAGAAACAACAGTCCACAAGGTTGAGAGATTATGTGCTTCACACCGCACAACGATTGAATCCCTCTCCGCGTCTCATTGCAAGCTCACTCGGCCAATCACATTTTGTAGGTAGTCCTTATCCCATAGATAACTATGTGAACTGTAACAATTTTTCTTGTCGACATCGTGCTTTCTTGGCAGCTATTACTGCAGGAGTTGAACCTACTTCTTTTGCTGAGTCCGTAAAGGATAAAAAATGGAGAGATGCAATGCATAAAGAAATACAGGCACTTGAAAATAATCAGACATGGACTATGGAGCCTTTGCCATCCGGAAAACGAGCCATAGGATGCAAATGGGTGTATCGAGTCAAGTATAATGCTGATGGGACAGTGGAAAGATACAAAGCTCGTCTCGTGATTTTTGGGAACAAGCAGGTTGAGGGAATTGATTATAATGAAACTTTTGCCCTAGTTGCAAAAATTGTTACTGTCCGCACCTTTCTTGCAGTTGCAGCAGCTAGAAATTGGGAGCTTCATCAAATGGACGTGCACAATGCATTCTTGCATGGTGACCTTCATGAGGAAGTTTACATGCGAATGCCTCCTGGTTTTCAGTCAGATAAACCAGGTATGGTATGTCGGTTGAGAAAATCTCTATATGGCTTGAAACAAGCGTCGAGATGTTGGTTTGCTAAATTAGTCGCAGCTTTTAAGACATATGGATTTGAGCAATCATGTTCAGATTACTCCCTCTTCACCTTTCGTCGAGACAATGTGCATCTGTTTGTTCTCGTGTATGTAGACGATATTATTGTGTCAGGTAATGATCGTATGGCTATTCAAGTCTTCAAGAAATATCTGAGTGACTGCTTTCATATGAAAGACTTGGGACCATTGAAATATTTTTTGGGCATTGAAGTTGCCCGAAGCTCAGGAAGAATTTTTCTATCTCAACGTAAATATGCATTGGATATTATCTCTGAAGTTGGATTACTTGGTGCAAAACCTGCTTCTTTTCCTCTGAAGAAGAATCACAATCTAGCCTTGGCAAATGGGCCTTTCTTATCTGATCCTTAGCGATACAGGCGCTTGGTGGGCAGACTTATTTATCTCTCAGCAACTCGTCCAGAGCTGTTTTATTGTGTGCATGTTCTGTCACAATTTATGCAGCAACCACGGGAAAGACATTGGGAGGCCGCATTGCGGGTGGTGCGCTACTTGAAAGGAAATCCTGGTCAAGGAATTCTGTTGCGGTCAGATTGTGACTTGCAGTTGTATGCATGGTGTGATTCAGACTAGGCGAGCTGTCCTTTGTCCCGACATTCTCTATCTGGGTGGTTTATTCTACTTGGGAACTCGCCTATTTATTGGAAAACTAAGAAAGAACATACTGTGGCTCGTTCTTCAATAGAAGCAAAGTATCGATCTATGGCCACTGCCACGTGTGAATTAAAATGGCTGAAAGGATTGTTATTAGTTCTTAGAGTTACGCATCCAAACCCAATGAGATTGTATTGTGATAGTCAGGTAGCCTTACATATTGTAGCAAACCTAGTGTCTCATGAGCGTACGAAACATATTGAAGTTGATTGCCATTTTGTACGTGATGAGATTCAAAATGGTTGCACTCGTCCTGCTTATGTGTCGACTACTGTTCAGCTGGCTGATATTTTTACAAAGGCACTGGGTAGCAGAGAATTTGAGTACTTTCTTCACAAGTTGGGCATTCACAACCTACATGCTTCAACTTGAGGGGGGTGTTAGGATTGTGCTGAAAATCAGGAACTAGTATCCGCGTATATCTCTTTTCATGGTATCTCTGTATATCCTATTCTTAGCATGTATATTTCAGTTAGGAAAGATATGATTTAATTGCCGTTAGTTTAGGAGTTATTGCCATAAACTTAGGAGATTGATTGCTTGATTGCTTGATTGCTTGATTGTAGGGATATAGTCGTGTATATATTTGAGTTTTCTCAATGAATGAAAGAATAAGAATTAACCAGCCAAGCTCTTGGCTTTTTCGGTAGTCAAATTTTTTGGGCTTAGGCCTAGCCTAGATACACTAGTTTCAAGAGAACATAAAGTCGAATTCTTGGCTGAAGGACAACGGCACTGTACCCCCCCCATCCCCCACCCCCCCAAAAAAAAAATAAATAAATAAAAATCAACCCATGTCCCATGCAAAAGCTCAAGTTACACCTAACAGGGATTAGGTTGGATCAACCCATGTTGCAACCCTATCCAAACCAAAGGCAAAAGGGCCAAAACTATCTCAAGTCTAATACCAAAATGGCGGGAAAATGGCAGACAAGATTTAGCGGGAAAACCTTACTCGCTTTGCGCGGGAAAATCATTGAGTCACCATACAAAGCAAAGGTACTGCACTGCAGGCTGCAGCCAACACAGGCAAACAAGCGAGCAAGAATGGTGGGTGTACCCTTTGATTGTCTCACGAACCCTCTTGGAGTCGTTCGCTTGACCTTCGAGAAGGCAGTTTCATTAGGTTCCGATCCAGCAACATTCGATGGCAAGGACTGGGGCGCCATTGATCTTTTCCGGGAGTTCCTCTTCGACAAAGGCGGACTTTCTCAGGTTAAATTCATCTCCTTCTCCAATCCCTTAACCTCATTCTTCTAACTTTTCTTCTTTATCCTCTTTCCTTGCTCTGATGTCACGATGAACAGGAACTCTAGATCTCAGCCTCAACCTTTTAATGGTTCTTTGGAACGAGATCTCCAAAGCATGAGTTTGCATTGGAATTTCATTTGCTTGTATTTATGTATAACGATGATTAATTGGCGTCTCTGGGTGTTTGTATTTGTAAAGCGATAGTATAATTTATTCTGTGACAAGCTATATCACAGTATATTTCGCATTTCCGTCTTAACGGTAGAAAGCCCTTTCTGAGTTTCGTGTCCTCCCAATAGGTGACTGGGGTTTGATCATATTGTTGGTAGCACAGTCGCCTCTTTCATGCTGGTCGGAGATTTCTTATCATCTGATAGAAGAAAGATTTCTTTAGGCTATGTTTGGTTTGAAGAAAAATGCAAGGAAAGGTAGGGAACCTTTACAAACCTTGTATAGGTTTTCCTGTCTTTCCCTTCCTTTCCCTACCTTTTCCTTCAAACCAAACATAGTGTTTGGGACTGTTAAAATTGTTCTCTCCAATTTTCAGTCGGAGGGCTTGTTATGTTATGGACCCTTGGTTGATGGCTGGATGCTTATCCATCATTCCGTTATATTTAATTTTTATAATTGGGAGTAGTTAGGGGTTACTTAATGTCGTTTCGTTCGCTGCATCCTTGTTAATTCACGTACCCTCTTTGAAACATTGATGTAGGTTCCGATCCTTGATCACGCCAGTATCAGATGGATTGAACCCAATTCTCTAGTTCGCTTTAGGGGGATGGTGCAAGACATGCTTGGTAATGAATTCTATGCTGGAGCTTTCAAGGTAACCTTTCCACAAGTTCTGTTGGAAGATTTCGCTTCTTTTCTGCAATTAATTTTCAGCTAATTGAACTCTCTTGGGGGGATTCATTTGCAGGATGGCTCCACATGGAGGACAAACAAGTTTACGGATGTTGCTTCATTCCCTATGGATTCATCTACTGAAGTAAAAGTCTGGGAACGTCGTCTTTTATATTGTGTCCCAGTAAGCCTTTACAACCTCGAAAAAAAACTAAAATGTTTAGAAAATCATAGCCATCCAAGAAAAACGAGGATTGTAAGCCTAAACGTCAAAGGAAAATATTTTGTTAATAGTTGGGATGTCAAAGGTCCATTGATCAGAGCTTTCCGTTTACTTGGTTGGCATGATATTCTTGGGGCTTGCCAATCTTAATCGCCGCTTTATGCGAATGGTGCACATTGACACCTTGAAGGGCGAAATAATGGTTTCTGGGTCCTATCTGATTTGCCTACTCCATCATGTACATTTTCGTGGTTAAGTAACAGTTTATGAGTTGATTGTTGAATATTGCCTTTTCTCTTCCCCCATCCTCTATAGGTTCCAGCACAGAACTCGTGGACCCAACCACGTCCTTCTGAACCTGTGACAACCAGAAATAAGGATCAGGCAATCCAACATGGAGAAAAGCGCCTAAGAGAGGATGATGCGGCTACTCATAGCATGAATTTGCATGTACGTTAGTATGCTTTTATTTTTTGAAAATAAAATTATCTTGAAATTGTTTACTCATTGAGTGTGCAACAAGAAGCTAAAGTCGTTGAGCTACTTGATTTCTAAATTCATTGACCAGTAACCAGTAAGCATTGCATAATTGATTGCCTAGTCATGCTCTATAAAGAATGACGCAATTGAGGGTCATATTAACTTGTACTGAGCAAAGTATGCAAACGTATAGGTCCTGCGTCTGATTAGTCTACCAAGAATATCTTCAAGGCTTAAATTGTTTAGAATCTGGTGAACCTGGCCATGTGGTCTATATCAGTGTTGTTAAAAAAGTGGACTGGATGTTGACCTGCTGAGGTTGGTGTCTCACAGGTCGAATGGTCCCACTGTCAAGTCCAACCTTGCTTAAAGAAAAAAGTAAAAAAAAAATGATAAAATGGTAAAAGCTTATAAAGTTATAATACATGTTTTAGATATATTTGTATGTTGTATGTTAAGTGTCAACAAAGTCTTAAAAGTTAAAAAATGAATATCAAATATCACAACCTTTATTGGTATAGTTACTTGTGAAGTCTTTGACAAAGTCAACTTTTATTTTGTGAGAACTGGCATTTCAAAATCCATTTTTGATTGGTCGTGATTCAAATGTTGTAACTGTCGAATCTGGTCTGACTCTTACAAACTAGTCCATAAGGTTTTTCCTTTTTCTTCCATTTTTCCTATACCGTTCCAAATAGTATTAGGTATGGGCCATCCAATTGGGTATATTATTGGCTCGAGGACTTCAAATAACTTAACTTTTTGAGAAACAGGTAATTGTTGCTCTTCTGAATATGTTTTTTCTTTGATAAATAGTTCTTCTGAATATGTTAGAGTATATTAATTGCTGCATATGTTCCTCAGTGATATGACAAGAGGAAGAACCCAGTTTATGCTTGTAATATCTTTCATTCTGATGTTATGTATTTTCTGACAGGCTTCAGAACATGAGTTGCACAGTTCACCTCCATGCACCAAAAAGCTGGTAAGTGACAAGGATCTGCATTGGTTGATTGGTTGGCATTCATTGAATTGAAAGAAAAAGTGATGATTGTGAATTTGTGAATAAGGGTCTCAGTCATCTACTTTTGTCAAATTTAAACTTCATCTTGGTTAAGAACCCTTGTTATGTGGTTCTTACAAACAAAATTGCTAGTACAGATTTTCTTGTTGGCCCCCATGAAGGGAAGTGGCACCCAACCATCAATGGTTCGTATAGGAGACGTGCTATGTTAAAAGTACATATACACTGGATGATTTTAAAGCATTTTTCAATGTTTTGTGTCTCAAAGGCATATATGATGCTTAAGCCTTGAGATTTGCCGTGAAGTGAGGGTCAATGAAAATGCTCAAGTCTTAGTGTGTATGCTTACGAGTTCAAGTTTCAAAGCATATCCTTCACACCTTGAAATTCCTTATGTTAAGAAAACACATTCATACATTGATAGAAGAATGCTTATCAATGTGGGACTAAATTTATAAGAATCATGTTAAGCTCTTAATGTGTGTGCAATGCATAAATGTGTATATGTATTTATTCTTTAACATAGTTAACACCATTTCAAGTCTTATTTTATATTTAAAATTTTCAATTGTTACTTCATAGTTTGTAAGAATGTGGCAGGTTTCTTTGAAGTTCTTATATTATCAGTCCTTGATGATGTGATCATTTGTTCATTTATATGCTCGTGTAAAATTATAATGTGCACACTTCTATAATTTTCCTCATCTTTATTTTCATGTTTTTCTTAAAGAAATAGCATCTAATTAATCCTTATTCATGTGTTCTACAACCGTAATTGTACTTGAATGCCATTGTATCGTAGTGGATGAAGGTGTTAATTTTGCTTGTAAGCTTGCTTCTAGTTGCTTCCTTATAAAGCTATGTTTCTTTACCAGTGTCAAGGTATGCTTCCTTCTCAGCCACAAGGATTAGTAGATAACTGTTCTAATCTGAGCATGATGCCTGATTTTAACCAAAATTCTCTCCCATGTCTCGTTAAGGTAAATCTTTTGTTCTGGATTCTAGAAACCCATGTCTTCACTGTTTTGTTTTCAATTCTCAAGTACTGAAGGAAACTTCCTGACCTTTTGACTTTCAACTGTGCAGATATATGATTCGCCAGAATCTGATTTGAAGCTGAATGATGTCTTTGAATTTGTTGGTGTATTCACTTTTAATCCCGAACTTTCTGTTCATATAGATGAATCTGATGAGTTCTCTAATGGTCTTGAAGATGCACTGGTCCACTTGCCTCCTAGTAAGGTACACACCGATACGTTCTAGATTTTAATTAATGTGCCAAGGAAACGTGCAGTATCTTTCTACCCATAATTTTTTCCATATCTATCTGTATTTTGTATACTGAGTGCAGTGTACCTGTGCATATCATTACCTTGCATGAGTACAGAACTTGGAGTTATCTTATTTATATGAATTGGAGTATTTTGCACCCAACAAGTTGTCTGTAAATGAATTGTCTTTTCTTTTTTGCAAAAAAGGTATAAGATTATACATCAGTCAAATAATATACATCTAGCACCTAAGAACTCATAGCATCTTATTTATTAAAAATGATGGTTAAGGAAAGAAGGTGCAGAATCTTGTGAACATGCATGTATGGTTTTATGAAGTATCTTTACAGCCTGAGAAGCATTGAATATACTCAACTCACCAAGCTCTCTTCTCAATCATCTACACCTCTCTGACTTTCTCCATCCGGCTTATCAAGGGCCAAATCTTGTGTACCCAAAACATATCCATGTTGTAATTGTGGAAGTTCTTTTATCTGTTTTCATGATTGCACTTTTATTTGCAGGTGCCACGCCTACATTGCTTTATACATAGAAAGCTTTCAATTCACGATTTCCTCAGTTTCCCCATGATTGAGGTGATAATCTTTTCCTTGTACTAAAATGAGCTATTATTTTAACATATTTTGCTCTAATAACTGATTGTTTGTCTGAAATATTACTTGCTAGATATATCACCATTCCATGTCTAATTCTTGCATGTTTTAATTTGTGCTTTTTTCTCTTGTTATTTATTCATAAAATGTTTATTTCTGCCCCCAGCCAATGCCACATTTGGTTAGAGGGATAAGAGATGGTCTGCTAAGGCATCTTACATCTCTTCTTGGCAATGATGGAGTAGCAGCACAGTGCATGTTGTTGCATCTTCTCTCCAAGGTAATTTTTTTCCTTATTTATAGTTCCATGTACTTGATTTTGGATGTTTACAATTATCTTGTTCCTTTTATCACATGTATGTTATACTAGCAGGGACCCGTGTGATGCATGGGATTTGTTAAGCGAAAGCTAAACAATAGAAACGCATAAGAGTATACAATTGTTTTATATTTTTAACTTTTTAAATAATTAATACTTATTTATATTTTTTATACTATTTTTAACATTTTTTTTGCAGTACAAAAATAACAATAATTAATTTCAGTTAGGGTTGTTTATCAAATTGATGAGACCGACCAATCCAACACACTTGATTTGATATGAGTTGGTTGGTTTTTTAGTATTTCCAGTTAGCATTGGTTCAACAATTTCCCAACCCAACTAGGTTGGACCAATTTTTTTAAATTATAACATAATTTCATTATTTTAACTATTTAAAATCTAGTTTTGTTAAATATTTAAATAATGTATAAAATATTTAATTTTTTTTATTTGAATTTATTTATTTTAAAGTTATTACATAATATTAAATATTTTGTTATATAAGTATTTAGCTATTTTTAATATTTTGTTATCTAAGATATTTAGTTATTGAAATATTTAAATAAAATTTCATTTTTAATGTTAAATATTTATTATTTGAATAACATTTAAATTGAATCCGGAAAATCATAATTTATATTGTTAGTACATAATTTCGTAATGAATTTTGTAAGAATATAAAATTATTAATAATATGAATAAATTAAATCTATTTTAATTATTTTTATGTTTTTAATAAATATTTTAAAGTTATTATATAATTTTGTTAAAATATTTAAGTATTTCTTAAGTTTTTTAATTCAAACTTTCTTTAGATAGATATAGATAAAAGGTGGGGAGAGAATAAATAGGAATTAGAGATAATTTAAGAGAAAGTGGGGGCGGGTAGTTTAGGAGAAATTTTAGGAGAGAAGATTATTTAGGTTCTTTGAAACATGTGGGAGAGAGAGAGAGTTTTTAGGAGCATCACATTGGTGCTTTCAAAAATGACATGGAATAAAAAAAATAAAAAATTCAAAAAAAGGAGAATTCCTAGACTGACTTCATTTTCTCTCTCATATATGGAAACCGAATGAAATCAAGTAATTTCTTTTTGAGCAGGTGCATGCTAGAGTTGATACTGTAGCAGTGGGGAAGCTGTCATTAAACCTCACAGGTTTCACTGAAGAAAGTATATCTGTTTTCAGAAATCAGCTTAATCTTGCAATGCAGAGCCTCCTACCTTTCACACAAGTAGTGCCTCTTACCGTGGAGTATCTTAACAGTACCTCACTTGCCCCAAGAAAAGATTACCAGACAAACAGGCAAGTAGATTCATATTGATATAAGATGGGATGCACCAAAAAAGGATGCTGGTTATGGTTACATGAATGCAAATGCTATCTACCATTGTACATTGTTGTTATAATTAGTGCCTTTCAAGATAAATTTGTTTGATTGTTTTTTATTCCAGGTTGGTCACTGGAGTTCTGCAGTTAGCTGAAGGAACGCACTTAACCATTGATGAGACTCAACTTAAAGCAGGGACCCTTAATTCCACTGGAGTCGAGAATGTGAGGTTGCTTAAGAATCTAATAGAGTGGCAGAAGGTATTTTAGATATATGTTGATCTTCTTGACCTTGCTTAGTGTATTCATTTAGTACCATTTGGATGTTAGATGTTCATACTAAATAGTATTTTTATTTCAGGTAGACTATGATTTTGAGTACTACAAGATGGAAATGACCAGTGATGTTCAGTTATTGATCCTCTCAGAGGGGAAGTCTAACATCTTGCCAGCAGACTTGGTCTTACCTTTCTGTCCTTCTGCTGTATGCTCTTGTGAAAATGGTGGTACTGAAGTTCAACAAGGTTGGAGGTGGTATTTGACTACTCTAAGGTCATTGCCACATTCTATCAAGCCAGAAATGCAGAAGGTAGGGCCCTGTGAAGCCAAACCACCCTGGTCCTGGCCTTGGGGATAGAGTGGTTAAGGGGTGCCACTAATTGGGTGGGGTCTGACTGAAGCTCCTTCACCCCTGGCCTTTTGATTTAAAAAATGCAAAAGTTATATTGAGGTTACTCCTCCAATGAGCATGTTTTCTCCTGATCTCCTGAATACCGTCCTTGAGAACTGCAGTACTTGCTGCAATGTAAGAGGAAGCCCAATATTTCGCCATTCAAACTAGTGTGTTATCAAAATTTCTTGCCTTTGCCAGTTAAAAAAAAGTGAATGAATTCCTTCCTTTAGCATCTTCTATGCTTGTCTCTCGAATCATTTTGTTGCCTCTGTTTTTTACTACTTAGCTCTTCAAGTTCAAGCTGAGTTGACTACTGTTTGTGGTTTTTGACACTTGATGTGTGGCAATTGTATGTTGGATGATCTTTCATTCATAGCCTATTTTTGTACTTTGGGGACTGTTCGACTTGAACTTACAAGATAGAGGTTTATACTATGTGTGCAGATAATAGAAGATGACCTGGTTGCTGCTCGGCAAGCAGATAGGAGCTTAGGCAGCCAGGATTTTAGCAGGTTTGTCTCAGGGATCTAGAAATCAATTACATGTGACGAGTTGTAGCTTGATCATGTCCTTATAGTTCTATTGAACTTCTTCAATCTGATTGCTTTATAGGTGGCTGACAATGGCCCGTTTAATGTCGGTGAGTTTTGGTGAAACCTGCTTGTCATTGGAGCATTGGCAAATGGTCAGGGAATTGGAGAGGTTGAGGAGGGAGAGAATGTAAAAACGAGGGATATTGATAAAATTACGGGAGTCGATTAGGGATGTTGATATAATTTTGGGATTTATGCAAGTTTTTCTATAATGTACATGTATCTTTAACTTTTCTATTTGTAATTATGCATTTCTGAAGTGCAGCCCATTCTCAACCATCTGGACCCTTACAATTCTTCTGATGATGTCCTTGCCTTACATGTTACCTACTGAACTCAATGGTGGTTGAACGACACAGTGAAGAACATTGATTATTGTAGAAAAAGCCTAAAGATTTCTAACTAAACTAGCATTGATGCATGGGCCGCTGTTCAAAGTGATTCACCAAAGTTTTTATAATTTATATTTCTAGTTCTTTATATATAAAATATTAAAAAAATAATATTATTTTCTATTTTAATTAATTTAGCTTCAAACTTTTTTCTTTTTATATAACTTATATGTTATGAGAAATGCATAAATCAACTGTTTAATGTGAAAACCAACTAATGGTGGTTTAGGTCTCTTGGCTAGAAACATTTCAAAATTGAATTGACAAAAATAACCAAAGCTCATGTTAAAGTGTTTTTTATCGCATTTTATTATTGAACCATAACAATCCATGAAACAAATATATATTAAATTAATAAAAATGAGAGAAAAACGTGGTAACCATGAAAAGAGGCTTAGACTTTCGTATAAGAAAGTTGGTTCACTTGAGGTACTAGGTGGGCAAATTTTGGGTGACATCAGTTTGGGTTTAATTTTAGGTTCATATTTAAGAAGAAATTATAAAGGTGTTGAAGGGTTCTTGGTTAAACAGATTTTGGTGCCACACTAATTCTTTTATTATTATCTTATAAAAAAAATATATTTTGAATGCGAGAAAATAACTGACAGTTTAGCATCACCGGTGGACTATTTCCAACTTTTGATGTTCGGTTTGAAGGAAAAGGTAAGGAAAGGAAGGGAAAGGTAGGAAATGCACATCTCTGTTTTTTGACTTGCTGGAAAATCTTCAAACAACACAAATTTGAAACTGGATCTCTTGTCACAAACATAGTTGGTCAATATGTTGTAATCCCAAATTGTCATTGAATTCCAAATGTAGATATCAAGAATTTGAGATGTCTTCTTTACAATGAATTAAATTAAAATTAAATGATGATGATTTGTGCCTTGAATTCCTGTTTATGGCCTGCTCCATGACTCGATCCAGCATTTGTTGAGAAAAACCCGAAAAGAAAATATCATTGAAGTCTATGGTGGATGTGGAGGACTTGGGCCAATAAAGGGGCTGAGGTTAGGCCCAACCCAACCTTTTCCTATCCAGATCCACTTAAAACGTCAAAAATCTCCCAAATTCTCTTAATATTTGATTAGGATTTGAAACCATATACACATGATATTTTCTTGTTATTTGCTTGTTTGATGTTTTATTGGTTCTTTTAGTACAAAAATGAAAAAAAAAAGATAATATTTCAAATGATTGGAACCTTTATGAATTATGACAGTCCCTTATTGAAAATCTAAAATCATGAAATAAGCAATAATAAAACATAAAATTATGGGAAAAAATCACTGATGACATCAAGATTAGGGTTCAAGAGTTAAGAGAAATGGATTTATAGTATGTGACGGGACTATAGTACATATATAATAGCAATAGTAGACTCAGGTTCAAGTTGGGTTGGGTTTCCCAAGGGTCAACCCTAACCCAATCTGAAGTAAAGTTGGATTGGCAAAATCCAACCCTAACTATAACCAAATCATTAGCCAGACCCAACCCAACCCGTGTTTTTTAAATTGGGTTAGGGTTTATCAGGCCCAAGTTGCAGCCCTACTTTACACACATAAGAAGAAGAGAAAATACTCAAGGGGGTGTATTGGGTGTATAGGGCACTAGGGTTTGTCTGAGGTTGCTCAAGTTTATACTCGATTGTTTTGTTGGTGTGGTGGATTTTTGCTCTTCTCTTGTAGATGCTTGAAGGCCAGACCATCTTAAGGCTATGTTTGGTTTCGTGGGCATTTATTGAAAAACACCACCATATCAGCACTACATAGGCGTTGACGTTTATTGTGTATGAAACCACTGATTGATTTCAATGTTTATCAAATAAACACTGAAAAACAGAAATGCTATGATTATGTGCATGAGGCACTAGGGGAACTTCAAATTCTTGTTTCTCCCAACACCTGGGCATTTATTGAAACAAAATGCTTATATGAATCACTTTAAGCTGAGGTGGAAAGTAACTTTATGGGGTGTTACTTGAAACATCCAACCAAACAACAAAAGCAATAAACATTTAAAGTAGCATTTTTGAAATAAACATTTATCTGATAAACACCCCATCAATAAATGCCCACAGAACCAAACACATACTAAATCTTTGTGTTCTTAAGTGTTTTTTGTTTCTCTATTTGCTAATAATTTCAGATCTTTGGATTTATCTCTGAAAATGAAATATAATGAAAAGAAAATTTGATGCTTTAAGCATTAGATGTATTTCTAGAAAAATTGATGTTGATGGGGAAGACGATACCAAATTGAGAATATAACAGAACAAAAGAACACAACCACAAGTTTTTCTTTTCTTTTTTCTTTCAACATTTGTTTAGGAGAAATGATAAAATTAATGGATCCAAGTAATTGGCTTGTGGATCATATTTCTTAATTTTAGGGTAGACCAAAAAGAATGAGTCGACGTAATGAGAAATGATTTAAGCAATTATATAATTTAATAATTGACATGGCATTAAGTTATTAAACAAAATGTCAAAATAGGATTCATGAACCAACCCCATATAATTGAGATGAAGTTTGGATGATGATGACAACTAGAGGCACACATGGCATAACGAAGTAGCTCGTCCCTAAGAATCCATAAAAGATGAAAGTAATGCTTTCCTAAGACTGTAACTAATTTAGAAAAAAAAAAGAAAGCTGAAGTCAAGTTCTTAAGGCTCAGTTTGTAAGGAATATAAATACAAATTTGTAGAGTATAAAACCTTATATTTTGTATTATTTTGTATATATTAGCACTGTAATTATTTGTATTTGTACTCCTTCCAAATACTGAGCTTAAAAGAAATTCAAAAAATTTATTAAGTTTCTCAACTTGCACCCTAATACCCAATATTTTATCTATGTCCTGAAGCTAAGTTGTAATAGTCCAAAATCATAATAGATATGCCAAGCCTAAAGATTGGCTTTTCTGGCTGCCAAGGCGTGTGGCTCCTTTTTTATTTTTTTTATTGTCCTTTTCCAACCCAATGTATTTTGACCAGGCCCAGAAAAAGGTCCGGTTTAGACCAATTAACATCATTATGTGAATCATGATTTTTAAAATTGGACTGGACTAGATAGTCAGACTGGAAAAATTAGGAATCGGTTAGGTGATTAGTTCTGTTTTATCCTATAACCGTTATTTTGCAAAAAATTGTTGATTTGGTCAGCAAATTACTGACTCGGGTGGTCAAACCGTCCAACAGTTTTGGCCGTTTTTTATTTTTTTGTCAGAATGGGTCATCCATGTGGTTCGAACGATTGGACCGTTCGACCTAGGAACCGGACCCCTGACCGGTTTGTTGTCTGGTTCAGTTTTAAAAACCTTGATGTGAATTATTCCCAAGGTTTTAAAAACCGACCCGGAAACAGAACCATTCTAGCTACCAGTTTCTGGGTCAGCAGTTCAACCGCCTGGGTCGAATGGTTTGGACAGTTTGCATATTAGGGCAAATTTATATGAGATTTTAGATTTGAGAAAGGAGAAAGAAAAAAAAGAGACATTGGTTGAGAAAGAAAAAAAAAAAAAGAAAGAAGAAGGAAGGAGAGGAGGGAAGAAGAAGAGGAGGAGGAGGATTTGATGTTCATCGGCGATGATAGTGGCGACGACGACGGTAAGGCGGTGGCAATAGATGCAGATTTGAGATTTGAGTTCTTGGATCTCAGATCTGAGATCGATTTCTCTAAAACACTTGTAATCTTCTTCTTCTTCTTCTTCTCCTTCTTCTTCTTCTTCTTCTTATTCTTCTCTTTGTGCTATATCCTAGATCTGAGTTCGTGTCTCAATCTGGATCTCAGATTTGAGTTTTCCTCCCTGCAACAGTGCAACTTTATATTGCGAACCGCTGGCCGGGTCAAACGAGTCAACGGTTCAACCACCCGACTTAGCGGTTTTCTAACGAAATCAACGGTTTTTGACCCAAGAATAGATTAGGGGTGAAATGGAACTGGTTGCTTGGATGGTTTCCAGGCCGAACGGTCCAACCGTCTGTGTCAACGACGGTTCAAAAACATTGATTATTCCTCTCTATCATTGTTGGCTTATGGGTCATACTTGAATGGTACGAAATAACCCCGTTATTGCAGATGGCCCAGTAGTTGAGATGGTCACCTGGCATCCCCAGGTTGTGGGGTCAAACCCACCCCTCCCCTCCCCTCCCCACCACTTAGATAGATAGATAGATAGATAGATATTAAAATTGGTCTGTCCATGTCAGCATGTCTCTCCTTTGAGAGAAGCTATATATCTTTTGTTTTAAAAATATAAAACAATAATCATTGCTTATCTTGATTAGATTAATAAAGTTGCACACTATTAGAGAGAGACTTTTGGATTTTCCAAGGCCTTTTATTTTAATGCATATTATTACATTTTAAAAATACGTTTAAGAGAGAGAGACCTTTGGATTTCCAATGCCTCTTATTTTAATGCATGTTATTATTACACTAGCGGGGACCCGTGTGATGCATGGGATTTATTAAGCAAAAGCTAAATAATAGGAATTGTCATTTACTAAAATACCCCTTATAGTTTCATAGATTTACTAAAATCTACCCTGTAGTTAGCATTTTACTAAAACACCACTTATAATTTGTAATGGATTTAATCAATCTTCCATTAGATGACATTGGAAAATAATAGTGTTGACCATAATGTTCATTTAAATAAATTTAATTAAAATTAAAATAAGACACGAGCAACCACACTATTGGCTATATTTGGTCAGTTTTGTTTTCTATAGAAAAAAGTGTTAAGGGTATTTTTGAAATAAAAAATCATGGGCCTAGTAAATGACCCTAATAGATATTGATAATGAACAATAGTTATTGAAAATTTATAGCAAAAATACACAATTAATGAAAATAAATTGATAATGAACAAAATACAATAAGTACTAAAAATGTATT